ATATATATATATGCCACAAGCAGTGGCCTGTTGGTTGGCGGGGTTCATTGGCACATTACGAGGGCTGTTATCATGGAGTTCATATGCATGGAGATATGGAATTCCCTATAAGAATTTCTTAAAGGATTTTTTAAATAAATTTTCTCCGTGGTTGTTAGACATTGAAATTAGAATGGATATTTTAGAAGGGATTCCTCATAGTGGAACTATTCATCACCATTCATATGCATGGAGATATGGAATTCCCTATAAGAATTCTTAAAGGATTTTTTAAATAAATTTTCTCCGTGGTTGTTAGACATTGAAATTAGAATGGATATTTTATAAGGGATTCCTCATAGTGGAACTATTCATCACCATTCTTTCATGAACTGAGATATGTAGTTATAAGTCTATATCATGGATGAAGAATTGTATTCATAAGAAAACAAATTTCATTGCAAAATAATAGTGTTGAGGAATTTTGTTGGGATTGAGAATTGTTTGGGGCTTCGATTGGTTCACAATAGAAATCATCACCTGAAAAATAGAACACCGATTCGAAAAATCCAGAGCAAAAAATTGAACAAAAACACAATAAGGTAATTTAAGAAAAGTATATCAGAGTTTAACGTAGAGAAATTTGAGAACGAGAAAAAATTATAGAGCTATACCACACCAAAACTTCACTATAAATGAGAAAAACGTACAAATATATGCACTCAAATCTTCTTTCTATAGTCATTGGAACTTACAGAACTTCGTTCCAAACTTTCCTCTCAACCTCAGAATGGAAAGCCCTTGCACCAAAATCTCCTACTCAACAATTCACCTTCATGGAGAAATCCTGTCGAGAAATAACACATGCGAGATTATAACCATCATCGCTCAAATCAAAACTTATGAACCGAATCCAAAGAAAATTGTTTCGACAACGTAGATATGTTTAGAAGAGGCATAATCAGTTCATTTAATCGAGAAGACAACGTGGAAGAAACGAATCCGCGACATGGTTATGCAGTTGTTTGACATGGGTATGCCATCCTTTGCTGCCAGCATAACTCTAACAATTATCAACTTCATCATAAGAGAAAAAATCTCGGTGTAGCCCACTCTTTCTTTTTGTTGAATTCCTTTAATAATAAGATTTTCCTTATAGCAATTGTTTCCATCTAACTCTTTTTTCAGCTTGTAAACTCAATTGTTGTGTTAAGCTCTTTTGTCATCTAGTAATATTGCCAAATTCCATGTCTGATTTTACATTAAAGACTACATCTTGACATCCATGATAAACTATCACTTCTTTGAATCTTCAACTTGAGTAGTTTTATCATAGCACTTTGGTTCACCACTATCTGTTAGCAAAAAATAATACAAAGAAGGAGAATACATCTGTGTCAATCGAGTAACTCTGTTGGACCTCCCGACTTAAGTAGCAGATGTTTGAGAAACTTTCTGTGCTTCATCTGATTGAACACTTCTTCTTTCTCCTTCATCATGATTACCAGTATCTTCTATCTCAACCTACTTGGACCCTTCATAAGTAACTGACGGTCAATCCTAAGTTATGATATTGTCCATTTACATTTTAATTTCATTGAAAGTGACATTCATACTCCTAATGTACTTTTGATTCTAATAGTCTCAGAATTTGTACCCAAATTCATTTGGTTCATACCTAATGAAAGTGCACTTTACAAATTTCGAGTCAAGTTTACTTCTGGACTTTGCATCAACATGTACATATGCAAATCAACCAAATGTCTTCAAGTGAGTTTCTTTTTTGTCACTTTAGGCTTCTTTAGGTAAACTTGTCGAAAAGTGGAGGGTTGCATTAGGTAATCGACAGCCAGCGTAAAACTTGTCGGTGAAATCATGACATGAATCCTTTTGATCATTGTGTAAGTGCTAGGGCGTCCCCTGGAAGCGACGCGCTATATAGCCTGAATACAGTGAAAAGTGTGCAAGGGCCACTACACCCGGGCGCGGGTGTAGTGTTAAATAAGCAAGGGTTCCCACATTACGGGCGAATGCGGGTAAAGAAGTTAGTCCATGAAACTAATGAAACTAATATTAGGATAGGATCTTGGAATATAGGCACTCTCAATGGTAAATTAATGGAATTAGTTGATATTATGATTCATAGGAAAATTAATATCTTATGTATTCAAGAAACTAAGTGGGTGGGAGAAAAGGCTAAGGAGATTGATAATTTAGGTTTTAAACTTTGGTATTCTGGTAAGAGTCGCACTAGAAATGGTGTAGGTGTAATTATAGATAAGAGTTTGAAAGATAATGTTGTAAAAATTAATAGAGTTGGTGATAGAATTATAGCCCTTAAGATTATCATTGATACTAAGATTTTTAATATTATAAGTGTTTATGCTCCTCAAATAGGTTTAGATACAGAGTCTAAAGATAAATTTTGGAATGACTTAGAAGACTTAATACAAATGATACCTCTTGAAGAAAGAATTTTTATTGGAGGAGATTTAAATGGACATGTCGGTAGAGTGGTAGAAGATTTCAGAAATATTCATGGTGGCTACGGTTTTGGAGTAACTAATGAAGAAGGTAAAGTTATTTTAGATTTTGCTTTAGCGTTTGATTTTGTTATTACTAATACTTTATTCAAGAAAAGGGATGAACATCTTATTACTTATAAGAGTGGATCTAATAAAACACAAATTGATTATCTTCTTATGAGAAGAAGAGATCGTCGTGATTGTAAAGATTGTAA